TTGAAATCAGGCCTCTTCCGCAGGAGAAACGGTCTTCAGCTTCCACTCGGCAGCTAGGGCCCGTGCTGACAGCTGTCTAATGATGCATTTCTGTTGGGGTCCAGGAGTCTCCATTGTAAGTCGGAGCTTTGTTGATGCCTTGTCAATGGTTCTGGATCTTTTCTCCGCAGAGGCAGAGTCTAGCACAGGCTTTCCCAGACCCTAGCATGCACACACATCACTCGGGGAAGCTTGTGACGATGCAGGTTTCTGATCCAACCGGGAAAGGGAAGAATTCATTCTGGAAGATCAGAACTTGCTAGGACTGCTTATATGCCCAGCTATGAATTGAGACTCCAACGCTCATGCATTTGAGGTGGGTGGGCTTGGGGATCTCGAGTCAGGATGCTGGGGGAGACTCAGAGATCTCTGTGTTCTCCTCAATATGTCGAAAGCTAAGTTAAACAAAAGCACGTCCAAGATGCAGACGAGTTTGGATTTCCTCAAAGTGCATCAGCTACGGAAACATTCAAGAGGAAAAGGGCTTACTCTTTCTGTACAGAAACAATCCCCTGGAGAGAATGAAAATCCAGGTGAAGAAAGATCTGCTAAGATATTTAGGGGGTGATACGTTGGGGGTCGGGCAAGTACAGGATGAAGGAAGGTTTCGTCATTTAATCTTACATCGTTGGGTGTTGTCGATTTTCCATGGTCACGTATGATGATGTATTTCTTTGGTAATTAAAAAAAAAGAAGAAGAAAAAGCAAGACTGTCTGGTGTAGGGCACCTGGCAATGATCTGTCCCTAGGGTATAGGCCACTGTGTAAAGAGAACATGAACTGTGAACTCACTCCATCCTGGAATGGAATCTGGGCTCCAGCAAAGAGCTTAGGAAAAATTAGTAGACATTGCCCCACCTGCAGAATCGGGTAATGGGGCCTTTACTACAGTCGCTGCTGTGGGCACGAGAGACACATACGTGAAGTGGTTCATACCCAGGTGGCCTCCACGGGCGTCTTACAAAGCCAGAGCCCTCACCCCACGGGGCCGGGGCACCACCCCTGATAGAATTTCATCCTGGCAGACAGCTTCGAAGCACAAATACATTCTAAAATCTCTGGATGGGAGCTAATCACTTCGGAAGTCAGTGAGCCACCTCTCAGGATATCAGAGGAGCCTGGAAAAAAAAAAAATGAGACCCTGGGGAATGGCAGAGAATTTTCTTCCTTTGCGAATGGCAAATTTAGACATATGAAAAGTGTAAAGTGACATGCCAAATAAATCCAAAGTCGTCATAATTTAGCCAGCCGCCTTTATTATGAGACAATAAGATGCATAAAGTCAGTGCTATGGAGGGTGATGCAGGTCGTTTGGCCCACGTACAATTAGGAGGCTGATATTTGCTTAACGTCCAAAGTCGGCACTGCATGGCGCTCGCCTAGTGGTTGGGATTCCACAGGACGCACGGTTTCCATCACAGAGTGAGAGGTCATTTGCTACTGCAAAGAATCCTAGGGTTTTTCTAGGAAAATTCCACTCCAAGAGGCTCATTCCTAACATGTGGGCAGGTGACTGTCTAAACCACTGAGGGAAGACAGTCAAGGTAAACAGCTAATTAATTAAAGAAAACCTCTCTCTCCACCCCAGCCCTGAAAATATCCTGCGATTGAGACACACACACACACACACTCGCGCGCGCGCGCACACACACACACACACACACACACACACACACACGTTTAAAAATGCTTCCAGGCCACCGGGTCCTCCAGCCCCACTGCCTGCGTTAATTAAAGTCTACAAACCTTAAACTCCCCCCCTCCCCACAATATCTGTGCGACCACAACCCCTCTACTCTTTTAGGCAACATTTGCTCCAACTGAATATTCCCGTGCTTTCGGGAATAACATTTAAAAATAAACCATTTTGGCACATTGTCAAAGTCTTGTCTAAATTCCTTCATGACAACCACCCTAAGTGAGATTTTGAAAGCCAAAGGGAGCTGGGGGCAGGGGGAAAAAAAGGAGTCCCCCGTTTAGAGTTATAATTTCAGACAACGCCAAATGAGGATGCATTTACCAATTCCCTCTCCCCCTGTCTAATTCTGGCGTGTGCAGGGGGGTAGTCTCACCCCACCCCTGACTCCCACTGCCTGCATTTCCTTTGTCCTCCATGTGGAGCCGGGCACTTGGGTTGTGGGTGAGGAGGCTCCTAAGTCGTGGGACACCTTTTAGCCCGTGGCCCGGGCTGGCCGCTGGAGAAAGAAGGGCTGGGCAGAGAAGAGGCCTCAGGCAGGTGTTAAAATGTTGTCCCTGGTCCTCCATAGCAATCACCGCAAAACACTCTCGTCTGCTCCATTCCGATCAACAACCTGCTCTCTCCTTGGTCTGTTGCTAAGAGACCAGCCTGTTGTTTACAAGATCCTCGGTGGCGTAGACTTCCATAATTTATAATTTATTATCTTAGTGTCAAAACTTGTGTTGGTTTTTATTTTATTTCACCATAGATCCAATAATTGTTAGATACAACAAAGGTCATACATCCGCCTGTGGCACCGTCGCTGCTCTGATAGCATCCCCGGCTGCCCCTAAGTTTAGGTGCCGCGGAAGAAAATGCTATTATAAACGGAAGATGAATATCACTTTTGTCCATTAACTTCATGCATTATATGACTGCTCAGGTCAATGGATTCCCTCAAGATTTGTTCACTGTTGAAAACATATTTCTGTCCAACCAAGAAGGAAATGAATTGAAATGATTTCAATTATCACAAGAAAGGAGTTGAGTCTTCTCGCCGGACACTTCAACACCCCCTCGCCCATCTTGCCGATCCCGTCCCCACAAAGTTCAGGGCCATGGGCATTTAACCAGTGGTAGAAAATACTCTCGAGCCATCGCTGGGCTTTGTGGGTACACATAAGAGTCTTTGGAAAGTATTCTTGACTCACAGCAAGTCAATCGATTCAGTACGGAAAAACGAAGAGTCATTTAAGGAAAACAGCTCAGTGCCAAGACACCCACTTAAAGCAGAAGAGAAACCGTGTATGTTTACAATCACAATCGCTGCTAACCTTTCGTGGACCAGACACAAGGCTGAGTGCTTAACCTGGAGCGACGGCTATAAATCTCCCGACAAACCTATGAGGAAAGTCCTAGGAGTAGCCCCATTTTAGAGACAACATAATCAGGCCTTTGTGACCTTAAAGAAGTGACAGACCTAAGCCCAGGATGAGTGACCCTACAGGCATTGTTCTCAAAGGAATTAGAGGAAAAATCCAGCATGGGCTTAGCAGTCTGTCGTCTGTTTAAGAAGAGTTCACGGGCACGTGATGAAGCAGGGAAATTCACATAGGTTCCAAAACCATATCACCACATTATCTTTGTCTGCAGTCTTTGGAATCTCTCTAGAAACCACAGAGCATGAGAAATTTCTAGGAAGGGCATTTTATTTTCCCCATCAGAGGACCTGGCAAATTCTCATGGCATTTTACTGGGAATTAAATTTGTTGTTTCCAGAAAGTAATTATGGCAATGATCCACACTGGCATTTTTTACCGCTTCATTCCTACCTACCCCCTGCTGGCGATAGCACGCTGGGTCCCTGTCCAAGATATCACACCGAGGAAGGATCTTCAGGACCATCCCTGAAGATCCCCAGCTTCTTCTTCTTCTTTTTTATTTTTACTGAGATGGTGAAAAAAATACACATAAACAAACAGGCTCGAAACCATTGACCATAAAAGAAGCAGTCAGCCTCTTGATGACTTAACCGATTTCTCATACCTACTGGTTTTCTTCCCCCAAGCAAGGAGTTGACTCATGGAAAAGTGCAGACTCTTTGGCCATTGCAGACACACCACGAGCAACAGAAAGAGGTGCGCATATCCCTCAGGTCGTCTTCTGAGATCACCTCTCTGAGAACAGAGCCTGCTGAAGGTGCAGACGGGGGTCCTATTCATCTTGGTAACAGCATGAAACATGTGTACATGGCTTACGGTTACAGATCAGAAGTTGTGGGTTTAATTCCCTGTCTGCCCCTTAGCGAGCCCTGTGAACTGAGGCAGGCCTGTTAACTCTTGGACTCCCGGTCTCTACGTTTGCAAAAACGGGGGTGATAATACCACCTTCTTTGCAAGGAAGACACAGTTAAAGTTAAACAGTGGACACCACCCAAAATCCGGGGGGGAGAAGACTGTACAAAAGTTATTGGCAGCCCAGGGCCCAATAATGTGTCTGACAAAAGTTGCCTCTTGTTGCTTGTGTGTGTGGCTGGGAGCACGTTGTCGGGGTCCCCGCACCGACTCCGGCGAGCCCTGGGGATCCGGAGGTGAAAGGCTGCTTCTTCCTATTGATCGTTCAAGGTGTAATGGAGGAGACAACCATGAAGTCTACACCCACTGCTGTGGAGACCCAGATTGAGATGTGACCTTGGAAAATGTCATCTATGAGCCTCATTTTCTTATCCATAACATAAGGGCATCACTGCCTTGTCAGCTTGAGAATGAAGAGAAGGATGCCACCTGCTATCTGTCACCCAGGAGGTACTCAGCAAATATGGCGGGAGGGGGAGGTGGCACGTCCATGGCCCCTCTCAATGGCTACTTCTCCCCCAGGTTTTTACAGGGGATCCTGGAAGGAGAGGTGTTTCTTCACTAATAAGAATTAAAGGTAATCAGGGGCGCCTGGGTGGCGCAGTCGGTTAAGCGTCCGACTTCAGCCAGGTCACGATCTCACGGTCCGTGAGTTCAAGCCCCGCGTCAGGCTCTGGGCTGACGGCTCAGAGCCTGGAGCCTGTTTCCGATTCTGTGTCTCCCTCTCTCTCTGCCCCTCCCCTGTTCATGCTCTGTCTCTCTCTGTCCCAAAAATAAATAAACGTTGAAAAAAAATTAAAAAAAAAAAAAGAATTAAAGGTAATCAGAGCACAGTCGCACCAGCCACCTGCGTGGGGTCTTCACAAGGGCGGCAGAAACTGTCAGGCTGGTAATGCACACCACAGACTCCCTCTGCCCACCCCACTGACCTTTCTGAGTGTAACTTCATAGTGTCGATGTTAACGCCGACGGATCGCACGGGTAAAGCTCCTAGAACACAGGAGATATCCGGTAGAAGGCAGTTGCCCGCCTTTCCAAAGACCCTGAAATGGAGATAAAGCCGACATGTGATTGGCCATGGTCTGGAGTCTCTTACCCAACGGTGGGGAGTCAAATAGAATTTCCACGGAGATTTGATTATCCCTGTATCTCCTCTCAATCCCTGCCATCTAGTCAATAGTACTTCCCAGGGGGTTGTGTTTGTTTGTTTTAATGGAAATAAGCTAATGCAAGGGGACTGTCCGAATTAAGTGTACCCTAAGTGAACTCTTCCTTGCCCGCCTATAAAACCCGCCCCCAACCCTGTCTCCCTATAAAAGCAGAATCTTCTACCCACATGTCCAAGACATGCATCAAGACATAACGGGTGACCCCAGTTCCAGGTAGGCCTCAGCCCTGCATCTTCAATTGCCATCTGAGGTCTATTGATTCTCTTTCCCCAAAAGTCCCTTTTCTACACAGGTCGTTAGTTTTCAGGGCAATTACTAAGCACATGATTCCAGACCGAGGTAATACATGTTCCTTATCGTCTTATAAACTTGTAAGGGCCCCCATCTTTAGCAAGGAAAAACTCAAACCTCTTGGCACAGGCTCCTGCTTCAACGACCCATGTGTTCTCTAGCCTCTTGGACACCCCTTCACCACAAACTTTTTGGACGTGCAGCACACAGCTGCCTCTCGTCCTTCAAGCATGTCACGCTGGGCCACAATTCTCTGACTGCACGTTCTGTCCCTCTTGACTCCTGCGACATCTCTTTTCCCAGAAAATTCCTGTTCGGCCTTCAAGACACAACCTGAACGCCACTTCTTCTCAGAAGTCTTCCTGTGTTCTCCGGGCAGGCTGATCATCTAAGCTGGTTTTACTCATCTCTGTATCAACAAAGCCTGACCCATAGTAGCGTCTCAGCGCCTATGCCACTGGGTGTCGGTTTAACATCTTGGGTCTCCAAATGTTCTCCTCACTCTCCTTTCCAGGACCGTCTTTCTCCACTTAGTCATTAGTTGTTGATATGCCTCAAGGCTGGCCATATGGCATTTTTAAATGATCAGAATAATAACTCTTTACATTGTGTCTTGGGTATTCCCTCTGCTCCCCAGGCATCAGATGCTGATACGTCCCAAAGCTGCAGCTCCAGTCCTGCCTCGACCCGTATCCCGGAACTTTCCATTCATGGATGCGATGGCTGTATGGAGACTTGACTATTGCACAGAGCCCTCAAACTCAAAGCTTCAAACTGATTTTATTTTCGTCTCTCTACACACCTCTAAACCCTTATTCCATTCCAATGCTCCCTCATTAGTGGCATCACCACAATCTCCACATCCATTTGATTCCCCCCTGAACACCTCGCCCCACCTTATTAAGCAACACTTTTTCCGGGGCGCCTGGATGGCTCAGTCAGTTGAGCATCCAACTCTTGGTTTCAGCTCACGTCATGATGTTGCGGTTCCTGGGTTCAAGCTCTGCGTGGGGCTCTGTGCTGACAGTGCGGAGCCTGCTTGGGATTCTCTCTCTCTCCCTCTCTCTGCACTTTCCCTGCTTTCTCACGCTCTGTCTCAAAATAAATAAATAAACATTAAAAATAAATGACAAGGGGTGTCTGGGTGGCTCAGTCGGTTAAGCGCCTGTCTTCAGCTCAAGTCATGATCTCACGGTTCGTGGATTCGAGCCCTGGGTCGGGCTCTGTGCTGACAGCTTGGAGCCTGGAGCCTGCTTCGGATTCTGTGTCTCCCTCTCTCTCTGCCCCTCCCCTGCTTGCTTGCTCTCTCTCTTTCTCTCTCTCTCTCTCTCTCTCTCTCTCTCTCTCTCTCTCAAAAATAAATTTAAAAAAACATAAAAAAATTTTAAAATAAATGACAAGGGTTTTGGATGCTTTGCATATAATAGTTTTCAAATCTATTCAGCTTCTCCAATCCAAGACCATTCTCCATAATTCCCTTGCTTGAGGCTAACATTGTCTCTTTTCTGCCTGCTGCAACAAACTCCTAATTCACCTCCCTGCCTCTCGTTATTTTACCCTTCCCACCCATCCTCCTCCTAATAGCCAGGATGGCGGTTCTAAAATACCAGTATCATCACATCATTTTTCTATTTGAGGCTTTCCAATGGTTCCCCTGCTCGTATGGGCGTTTCAAACCCTCTGCCTGGTTCACAAAGACCTGGATTTCTGTGTCTTGTTTCTCTGGACCTTATAGCCATGACCACTCAATTCTGCATTGGGCTCTGTTCTCTCTAGGTCTTATCCTTCTCATCTGCTGCTTTCTTCCAAACCTCATCTAACTCCTGGTCAACCTTCAGCTAGTAGTATATGATTTACTTCTTAGAGAGTTCCATCTCCTTTGTCTACCATTCAACTCCAAGTACCATGAATGAAGGTGTGAAATAAAGGGAAATATATATATTTTGGACAAATTATTAATAGTCTTTTTTTTCTTCAAATCAACTATAGGACCTCAAAAATGCTCTTTTCCCTCACCAATATGATCTCTTGTTCTCTCTTGTATCCCCGAGTTCACACTTTCAGGAATGTAGTTTTGTTCTTTGTAAAAACTCTTGGGGGGGACTTCTTCCAAAGAGACGCTCTATAGCCTGTCACTGCAGTAAGAAACTTAGGGGCCCTGTTTCTACTCCCCAGGCTCTGTAGAATGCACACATAATTGACCAACACAAATCAAGCTTTTTCCTTTTATGCCATGTTGTCGGAGTGAGTGATGATGAACTATGTATCCCAGCAGATCTTCCAAGCCCTTTTTTGCTCATCACTCAAGTTCCCTCCCTTCCAAAAGCATTTTTGATAGTTTCTAACAGATTTTGATTGGTTCCCCAACTCGGAGCTCCCCCTAGGAAAAGAACTTCCCTGTATTTTTTTCAAACAGGGTTTCTGCCAAGCAACCTGCATTTTAGCATCCTGCATTTGGTCGGGGTTTTGCAATTCTAGACCCTTGTGCCAGAGAGAGCAAATCTTCTAGCCCTTTGATCTTCATGATCGTTCAATTATCTTTCTGGTCTCCTTCTGTTGTCATTTAGGGTAAGTACATACAGTCGGTCTTTGTATCTGTCCATGAAAGGTAATCTCACTCTTCTCTTAATTATTTTTGGATCCCTTGGCTAAGTGCCCCCCAATCTGCGTGCATCCTGCTCGTAACACTCAGCCCACATCTGCACAGCTTAGCCCAGGTGCAGTCTCTACAGAACTACAAAGCCAGAACTCACAGCCTCTCTCCCTCCACCGCAAAGCACAATGCCCCAACAATGTTGTCACCTCCAGCTCAGTTTGTGCAACAAATCGCCTTGTTCCTGCACACTGGTACATTACACTGAAACTTGACTGCCAACTGATGGCCACTCTCCTCTTGAGTTCTCTTCCCGGATTTCCTCTTGAACGCATCATGTTCTTTGGTTATTTTGGTTTTCCGGTTTGAATATTTTATAGTCGATGCGTTGATTTAAAAATTATGGGAGCCCTTTTTGCTCTTGTTCCTGCGAGGATAGCTCTTTGCAATGCCCGAACAGGTTTTGAGGAAAACACAGTGTCTTTCTATACAATTGGACTTCTTAAATGAAGAGAAAGGACGACAAATACCTCTGCGCCTCTCTCCAAGGAGACAATACACCTTTTGCCTTTTCGATCCCTCACTCAGCCCCAGTGGGTGCCTGTCCTTCCGCATTGCACTGGGTTTACGTTTATGTTTCGACATAAATGCTGTTGCATATACTTTTAAGGTAAAATTTGACAAAGCAAAGGCTGGCGTGTCATAGCAAAATGAGCATGACGTTTGATGGTAGGTAACTTGGGTTCACTTCCTCTCCTGTGGTTTATTGGGCTCACCCTTGGCCACTCCTTTATGTCTTAGCATCTTCACCTGTCGAATAGGTACATGATACACCTCCAGTCTTTCATAAAGGAAATAATGAAAATGACTCCAGAAGTTTTCCGTAAACTCTAAGGTGTTCTGCCAAACCTCAGATAACCTTCAGAAGTCTAAAAAGGAAAGCCTAGGGGCACCTGGATGGCTCTGTCGCTTGAGCATCCGACTTCGGCTCAGGTCATGATCTCACAGCTCGTGGGTTTGATCCCCGCATCAGGCTCTGTGCTGACAGCTCAGAGCCTGGAGCCTGCTTCGGGTTCTGTGTGTGTCTCTCTCTCCCTCAAAAATAAACATTGATAAAAATTTAAAAATAAATAAATAAATAAATAGGAAAGCCTAGTACCTGAAGCCTGGCACCTTTCATATATTGATATAGAGGCAATTTCTAACCAGCCTAATTTGTCAAAATAAAACTGGAAAGGAAATTTGGTTGAGAGAAAATGAGATTTCAGACATGGACAAGTGTTGTTTTTCCTATGGCAGAAAATCTAATATGGTTAGAATCTGTCAAGAGGCACCATACCTGTCGCTGATGAGTGTGTGGCCAGACCCACTGTGTTCAGCCTACTGGGGAATCAGGAATACCACGGAGGATAGGGTCCCCCCTCCCCCACTAGAGCTCATAGTGGAATTGGGCTCTCATCCCCACATTAAACAAGAGAATTTAGATAGAAATCAGAGTACAGCTTTGATGGTATCCAGCGAATGCTGAGAAATGGAGAAGAAAAGACTATGGAACATCATGGAAGACTTCTTGGAGGGGGTGTGGTTCCATCAGGGTTGTGAGGGTGCATAGAACAGGTAGAGCGGACAGCAGAGGGCATTTCTGTGTGAGACCCCCAGAGGGACTCTGGGAGAACAGGGAGGGGTATTTACAGAGTGACTGGTTAGCACGTTAACAGGTAATAAAATTAGTTGGACTCTCAAAGTCAAATACTGCAGCACCTGGAATCTGATATGTCTTATAAACAGGGGTGAGGGGAAGATCGGAGGGTGGGAATACCTTAAAAAGTCACTTTGAAAATGAATCAAGCCGCCCTTCCTTAAATTTAAATTTAAATTTATTTTGAATTACATGTAAATGTAAATAGATCACTGTGCCAGGACATATGCCCCTTCGTCCTAGAAAACTCCTCTGCGTCTTTGTCCTACTTACTCCTTGGCACCCCTCCAGACTCAGCAAGAGGCCATCTTCTCAATCAGCCCTACCCCAGCCCCCCTTCTCCTGGGCTAGGTGACCCAGAGTGGCTTGAACTTGCCTGATGAAAGCAACCTTTACCCCATCCTGTGGTTCATGGGTCCTCTATCCTACACCTTGAGCCTATTCTTTCCATCTTCAACTTTATTTATAGCTTCATCATTTTGTGTTCAGCGACTTTTACCTTCTCTGTGCACACAGCTTCCTCCTGTGAGCATAGGCTGTCCATGAACTCTTAGGGTACCCCTTGCCAGTAACTTCTCTGGTCACCAGGCTGAGAGAAGACTCCGGGGTTCCCTCGACGCCCCTTTAGTCGGTGAGGTTAAGAGCGCCAGGTAGGTTGAACCAGGAATTCCCTTGGTTCTAACACAAAATATGGTCAGTTTAAATGGCCTAATTGTCCTGGCTAAATGGCTGTCCCCTGGGACAACTGAAGATGCTCTTTTAGCCTGGCTAACAATTCTGAGCCACTGGGCCCCTGGGGTTCCCCGTGGGCGGGTGGTGGGAGTCCATTAGCCGGCTCACCTCCTGCCCTTTCTGGTCTCACCTGGACCCTTATCACCTGTGTCTGGGCCTCCCGGTCTCAAGAGGTTCGTGCCTTCTTCTCTCTAGGTGCCAGCCATAGATGGAGAGGTTCAAGCAACTGCCTTTCCTAATGCAATGAGACCTGCCTTTAACAGAGCATGAGGAGGAATTGCTGTGACTACTTCAAAAGGAAAGAAAGGAATAAATAACAAAGTGTACGAGTGTGGGCGAAAAAATACAAGCTGAAATGTGAGACCTCTTTGGTTTAAAGTATTGACAAGTAGATGGCTACTGTAATGACTTGGTCTGTCAGAACGTGGGTTTCCTCGCACCGATTGGGGATGGGAACGCTAGCCCGTGTCTTATAGCAGGGCTCTCAGGATCAGAACCCGTGTGGGTGCAACACGTGGCAAAGTACCTGAAAATGGAACCTGCCACAACCGTTGTTTGCTTACTGAATACAATGAACTGTATTCAGGGCTGAGACTCCCAATCTTGCTAGGACCCCATTTCCTTGAAAGGGGAGGATCCAATATTCCTCAACTGTTAGAAGTGGTGTCGATCTTCTGTGAACTTTCCAGAATCAACTGACTTGGGGAGGGTACTAAGACCCCCTTTTCAATGTTAAGTGTACAGAGTGTGGGGAAGAAATCCACTGAAAGCGGATGAGCAAGGGGAGCCTGGGTGGCCCAGTCGGTTAAGCGTCTGACTCTTGGTGTTGGATCAGGTCATGATCTCGTGGTTTTTGAGGTCAAGCCCTGCGTCGGGCTCCTTGCTGACAGTGTGGAGCCTGCTTGGGATTCTTTCTCTCCCTCTCTGTCCATCTCGCGCGCGCGCTCCCTCGCTCTTTCTCTCAAAATAAATTTTAAAAAATTTA